TGCATATATATACATATATATTATATACATATATATACATGCATGTATATATGTATATATACATATGTATATATATGTGTACATATATATGTACTGTAATCTATGCAAGCTCTTTGCGTTTTAAATTAAATATAAAAATTACTAAATAAAACTGAATCAAAGGTGCAGTAAATTCATGGAGACATAAGTAAGAAAACGAATGTCCAAATTAACTGTTATAAAAAAATCTACAAAATTAGAAGGCTTTTTAAAAAAGTATCCCTTCCACATCAAACAACTTTCTCGGTTATTTCCTTTTCAATGCACTGTACTTCTTCATGCTATCGTTTCAGTGTACCTTATTTCATACTTTCTTCAGCTTACTATACTACCTCTAGTTCCAGTGTATCCAGCTCGTCCTGAGATACCGCCACTACCACCACCGCCAGTGATTGCGATATTTGAAGAGGTGATGCCAGAAAATGAACTTGAACCACCGTCATAACCAGTGGTGCTCGATTTCTTCGTAGCTCCCATCCATACATTTGCTGCACCTGCCGCTTTTGATTGTAGATAACTGCTTGCAGCTGCATATACTGCTGCGTCATAGCTGTTGTAATTTGAAGCTGCAACAAAAAGAACTTCGAAGTTCCCGATAACTAAGTTTAAATTCCAACCATCTTTTAAAGTTTCGGAAAAAAAGAGAGATGAAAAATACAAAACGACAATGGAATAATCAAATTTGGATTCAGACATGAAAATTTTTATTCGAAAAACTTCAGCATTCAATTCACTTCCTTACTTGAAAATTTCTGAAAAATACTTGAACTGCTCGTTCCGGTTGTTGACGATGTGTTAGCCGGTTGACTGGTTACTGCTGTGCCGATGCGAGTAACGCCTACATAGGAATTGTTGCTTGTTGGATTTGCTGCAGCCGAAGCAGCAACAGCTGCCGCCGCAGCTGTGCGCAATGTATTCGTATACTCTACAACAAAAAGGCAATTTCAATTTCGAGCAGTGAACAGCAAAAATTCTTACATTTAAAGTAATATAATATTCTTCCAACAAAATTTTTGTAGCAGCGTGACTAAATCTAAGACTAAAACAAAGTAGCAACAAACGACCTAAGTATAATAAGGTTAGTACAAGGGAAAGATATACGCTGTAAGACTTCAAAGTTTGGAAAATTAATCCCATAGCGCAAACAAGTAACAGTTGAGGAAATGCCAACACAAAATGGCGTAAAATTGTAGAAGTGCAAGAAAACAAGCAGTCCACGCGCTGATTTCTAGCAAAGACTCTAAAGAGAACCCGAAGCGATGGAAAAATGTTCTGAAGGGCAAGTAAAAAGAAAGAAACAAGCCTGATAACGAGGTGTAAGTACCGCCTGTTGAAGGGACTGAACCGACGGTACTATATGAATCCGTCAGTCGTGTTGCAGTGTGCCCTGGATATGCCGCTGCAGATGCACTTACAACACCAGTTGCTGCTGCAGCTTGCAACTGCAAATTACTGTAGTTCTGCAAATTTTCCTAACATCAGTTTATTATTTTAGATGAAGTGAACAGAAAACTAAAAATTAACTAAATACAATTAAAAAACATACAGATGTCAGCAGCAACACCTGAACTAATTAACAAAAAATATAATCTTCCAATTGCAGCTTCCACCATCTCTCAACCACGATGGGTATAGTATAACCTGGTACCACCGCCCACTTTTTTCAAAATTCAAAAAATAATTTCCCAAGAAAAGAACCCTTGCAACCTGTTGCACTTGTTGCTGCTGTTGCTGCTGCAGAGATGCTACAGCCGCTGCAGTTTGTCCATATTGCGCATACGCCGCTGCAGCCGTAGGATTCGCATACGCAGCATAGGGTGATGCAGTAGGAGCTGCTGCACTTGAAAAACTAAAAACATGCTATACTATCACCACACTACATTGTTATTACTGTAGCATAAATTGTCGTTGAAGGTAATATATGCAATATTTTTGAACACAACAAATTAGAATAAAGTGACTGTCTAATTCCAACACTGTTTTGAAGCAAGACTTTATAAAATGTTCAATGTTTGATTAGCAATTTCTAAAGCTGAAAAGATTTTCTAGAGAAAATTCCAAGACTTTACCCATTTATCACCCATTACAACATAGTGACTAAGACTCGCATAAATCTGTATTATAATTTTCAAATTTGATCATCAGGAAAATGTGATTCACACGGATAGCGAGCCTTACCGCCGACGTCAATAATAATCGGTAAAACGTACCCCTGAGCCAAGTCATTTTAATCCTGAATTGTCTAAGATTATTATTATTTCCGAGACATGGAACTTCAAAAAGTTCTTCACCTAGCATAGACACTAGTCGGATTTGTAGCTCCTACAGCAGCACCAAGTGTAGGAGTATGTGGAGTCGGCTGCGACTGTACCGTTGCATTATAAACCGCAGCAGCAGCTGGCGAAGTTGCATAAGTTGAATTATAACTTCTGAAATTGCACTAGCTTATAACAAACAAAGAAAAGCACAAATCAGAAAATTAAAAGGCACTAAAATACAACAAACTAATTTTTGGACAAACTGTTCTTCTTTCTTCGAAACTCTTACTTCCTCCACATTTGCTTCCATGGTGTAAAGTAATTTTCAGGACACTTTCTACCGCTCTTTCTCAAAAAGTCCGTGGATCTTCATCCACACCTTACCAATCTTTCAGCATTACTCAAGCACAATACTAATTAACCTCTGTAATAACATTAGTACACCCACCATGAATAGTTAACAAGGAAATCTCTTACAATTCCGATGAGATTACGAGAATAAAAGTCCCTTGGTCTTACTCAACTACTTGTGCGAATAATACAACTTCTGACACCACAGGTAATTATCACCAGATTAAGGTCAAATGGAGAGAAAACAGATCAAACGTGTAGTAAAGCCTTTCCTACACCTGTTATTTGAATTAGCCATCTCTCTTCCTGCTTCAGTAATTACTTTTACAAAAAAAGAAAAACTTACCCATACTGGCTTTGACCCGTGAAGCTGTACATCCTATAACTACGAATTCTTGGATTTCTCAAAAGACTGTCTCTCCCTGAACGGAATCAACAAATCTACAACCAAGAAAAGTTGCCGAAATTTTACTGGAATCAATGTTTTCGAGATATCCATCCACTTATAAAAACACCACGGATTTAGTCCATTTTTAACTTAAGTACGAAGACCAACTTCGTTTCCTCCAAGTAACCCTGATTCAAAGAAATTCACATAATTCTTTCCGGAACCCGCATGCTTATTAGCTCTCTGAAACTAAATCTCCCCCCTTTCTTCTCTATGTCCTTCCAGGCCACCCATTGGTAATTCAACGCCAGTTTGAAAAAATCGATATGTCCAACTACCGTAGCTCACTCCGACAACACTTCTTGCAGCCGTAAATTTATCGCTTCACCAGCCCCAACACCATCTACGGCACGAAACCGAAACTTTCCTCATTTGCCCCAGTTCCGATTCTCATGCCAAACGAAATATTCCTTACTAAGACGAGAAACGTTCATACGACAAAACTGCGTCGCAGTGGTAGCGCGAGAGAAGTCCAAATAAGCATAGCAAGATGTGCCACTAATTAACGAATTGATGGAACTGCAAGTAAATGAAAGGAAATTTTATTAAGGGACGTTCGGAAATAACAGAAAATTGACAGAACAAAAGATAAGTATTCTTCGCTGCAAACTGACAAATTAGCCTCACAAACTTTTATCTTAATACAATTAACAACCAAAGCAAAAACATGATTTGTAAAGTTAGAAATTCATTTATTTCTTCTCGGCTTTAATTTTTGCTTTCAGCACTCGTGCAACGATTTTCTGTTCTTCTATTAGGAAAGCACGAATAATGCGCTCCCGTACGGCTGCTGCTGAGAGGCAACCACCATAAGCACGAGTCACGCGCTTAAGGCGTTTCGTCATCTTATGTAGCTGGCGTGGCCTCGCCGGCTTGATCTGAAACAAAATGAACATAGAAATGCTGAATTCCAACTTTTAGTCATGTATGTTGCTGAAATTGTGCGATTACGAAGAACTAATTGGAGGATAAAAATAGAGGAAAGCTCTGAAAACGACTTCCGTACCATGTTTCCAATTTTGGAGCTCTAGTTTCCTAGTTAGTTTGACACTTTGATGTCAAAATTGACCAATTTGACTATCCTGTTATGGCATGTCGCATAATAGTTTGGGAACTGGGAAAAAGTGACACATGCATAATGCTTAGAACATCCCAATTACAATACTGTATGATTTTTCCAAAACGTGCCGCTAAGATTTAATGTACTGGATCAATAATGCTCAAAAGACTCCCTTCACTTACTCCCTTCAACTTTACTCCGGTATCGCCACATCGCGCTACAGAACCTTTCTTTTTTCTGTACAGAAAAACTACACGTCCACCTGGTGTTTTCGACACCTGCAAAACACATCAGCGTAAGATACAATAACGTTCACAGCTTGCGGACTAGGAAAAATCAATGTTACATATGAGAATCAATTACTTTAAAAGAGATCTCCTAAGTACAAACATACATGCAAGCGAAGTACAGAAATGACAGCTAGAAAATAATACGTAAGTAAAGCGAAACTTTTAGGAAACAGGAGGTAAAAGCTCATTTTATCCAGTCTCTTTGCTTTTCCTGCGACTCGTGCAACCTCATATATCTTCGGGGTTAGTGGGAAACTTTATCAAGTTCTATCTTTAAGTATGATAAAGCTACCTTGGTTTTATTGGATGTAGTGTTATAACAGAGGCGTCGACGATAAGTAAGTCGTTGCGGCATTTCTCCAATCTATAAAATTGCTAAGTGATGGACGATTTTGGCTAGAATAGACCCATTGAATTTGTCCCTTTGCATGCGAAAACGTCGACAAATTAGTTCTACTCACAAATTTCTTATGAAACATTGTTTATGAAATTTCCGAATCACAACCCCCCTAGTGGAATGACACCGCACAACACCACTCACGCGATTGTTACACGCGCCGTCAAACACCGAAGATTAGGACAAACGGAAGCTATCGTAACACAGCTATACTGGAGTCACTATGAAATATTGGTTTCACTGGCGTTGCTAGAGAGTGCAGTGCGTAGTTCTTTAACTGTGGATGGAGTTTTCTTTTAATTTTAGTTTTCTTGAATTGCGTATTTAACTGTTTTGCAAAACTTGTCGGGAACTATATCAGACTTCTAATTTTGTTGAAAAATTCTCGAAAAATATACATCTGGACAAAGTTTAAGTTCAGGAAGGGACAAGGTAACACAGTGAGATACTGATTTGGATGGCAAAACTGACACAGTTTTGGGGCTTTGTTTCCATAGATATCCGGTACCGCGGGTGAGTATTGATTTGTCTTGGACATTTTGATATATCAGCTTATTTAAAAGATGTGACTAATTCTGTTTACTATGTTTTTTTTATTTAAAAAGATATGTTTTGTATGCTTGTATGCTTGTTTGCATATATATATACATATATATATATATATATATATATATACATATATATATTGTGAATATACTAGTACAAAAGGTTGTGAGAAGTGGTGAGGTTCTGAAAACAGCATTTCTATATATATGCCAAACAATAAAAACTGAAATAATTTACATATAATCGCTCTTAGAATAATAATTAAAGACGTGGAACCCAATGGATACTGTTGCTAAACTTATGATGATTTGAAAAGCATGATTCTTTTCTTCGTGCATTTTCCTCTGTTCAGTTTTAAATTTTTTATTGTTTCCAATGCGTAATTTTTTGGATGACAAATATTTGTGTAAACTTAGTGTTGGTGATCTAAGCATCATCGTATTTGGTTCAAGTGACGTCTGCGTTTCAGGAAGTGCCGGGATTATGTCCGGTACGCATTTTCTAGTCGGAATATGTACTAACGATTATGTGATTTTGGCAGCGGACCGCTCATGCTTTGCATATGGAGCGATCATTGTTGCCGATGGTTAGTTTTTATCTCTGCAGGAAATTTCGTAGTTTAGTGTCATATTGATTAGGAGAGGGAATATGCAGAATTAGTTTAATGATAAGAGTGAAAAAATTATCTGAATGCTTCTGATTTCTTGGTTGCTTTAGATTAAGAAAAAAAAACCAACATAGAGAGAGTTTAAAGAGAGGGTGGTGACGTTAAAAACGTTAATGTGTATTTAATGGTAACATTAAAGACTGGTAGTACATTTATTTTCATGGAATTATTCTCTGAAAGTTAATGAAATTAAAACTTCTTTGAACTGACAAAAGGAACTGAATGAAGGATGAGGAAATTGTGAAGCATTTTAGGGAATTTTTTTTTTAAATTCATTAGAATATCTCCAAAATATGGAGATATTCTATAGATTATTTGCTCCGATAGATTATTTGCTCACATGATAAGGGTTTTGTCCATGTCTTTGTTCGGGAAAGTAAGCAATGTTTATATTCTGTATGTCGACAGATGAGGAAAAGAAATTTACCTTGGGTGATAAATTAGCAATGATATGCATTGGCGAGGATGGTGACGTGGCGCAGTTTGGAGATTGGTGCAAACGAAATATTCAGCTTTATAAACTTCGATATGGTAAGTAAAATTATTTCCACTAAGATACATACATTGAATAAAACATATTGCATTTTATCTCATGTATAACCTTTCAGCGACTTACTGACCTTTTCCCTTATTCGTACTATATAACTGGGAAAGTAAAAGTTTCCGATATATTGGTTAACATTTCGTGAACTAGTTCAGTGATGCAATCTTGGAATGTAAATGCATTTTTATGTCAAACTGTAACAGATGACACGTATGCAAATTGCGAATTTCGTATGTTAAAACGTATAGGCATATTTTTTCCTATTTTTATACATTCCGACGATTTACTGACTTTTTGTCTTATTGGTAACTCTTGTATTCTAAGCAATGTTGAGAGCTGGAATTTAAACTAGATTTCCGGAGACCGATTTCTGTGCCACTTTTTCCAGGTCCAATACATTGCAGGTTACGAAATGAGTCCACGTTCCAGTCATCATTGGATTCGTCGTAGTATCGCTGAAGCTTTACGAACACAAGATTATTACGTCGTTGATACACTGATTGGAGGTTATGACAGCATTGAAAACAAAGCTTTTCTTGGTTCCGTTGATTACTTGGGCAATGGTATTGCTGACCAGGTTAGTTATAATGTAAGATACAGTTATTCGGCAGTGACTGAATTATTTGTCATGCTTAGCTGTCTTTGGGAATGTTAAATAACAATATTACATTTGTTCCGGACTGTTTATGCAATAATTGTTGATATCTTTAGCCATATATATTTCGTGGATTCAGTGGACGACTATGCTATTCAATTCTGGACAAAACATATAGAAATGGTTAGTTTGTAGTAATATTTGGTATGTTCAACTTATCACCAAGATTGGCGTGGTATCATTTTTAATGATGATTTACTCTCAGATCTGACATAATCGTGCTTCCTGGAAGAAAACATTTTGCCATTACCATTAAATATAAATGAATGGCTCAAAAACTTTTTCCTTAAGAATATTTTTTCATTTTTTACTTAATCGAGTCGTTTTCTATGTTAAATTCTTCCAGATTCTTTGAATCCTGTACAAAAGATTTTCAATTTTAGTCCTTGATCCGAAATTATTTATTCTACGTTTAAAAGCAGTGTTTCAGACTTTTTATAGTTCTATCTTATTTTAGACATGACCGAAGCCGAAGGAATGGATTTGCTGAAGAAATGTCTACATGAATCGAAACGTCGTTTCATCGTTAATTTGCCTGCATTTGAAGTAAAGATTTGTAGTTCTGCCCATTTAGAGGTGGTGTTGAGAAATTAGGGTTTCGGTTCGAATTGAATTTGAAATATTATGAAAATCTTGAGAACATCGAATAAAGTCAGGAGAAACTTTGCTTTTATCATTTCAGTTTTTTTTTTTTTTTTCTAGCTGGGTAGATCACAATTATTTTGCTAAATTTTTCTTCAGGTAATGGTTATCGATAAGAATGGAACACGGCAGTTGGAGGATATCAAAGTTTAAATGCACTGCCTGTTCGTCTTGACTGTTTTCTTTTTTTTATTTTTAACTGCATTACGGCTGTTGCCTCTTATAAAGACTGCTTACTGATAAATAATTTTTAAAAACCATCCCTTGATGGACTCAACATTTTTCAGAAGTTTACGAATTCGAAGGAATCAGAATTGTAGAGATCTTAACATTCAAATTTGAAGATACCTGAAAATACATTGAAAATGATGCACAGTTTAGGATGTGGTAAGAATGATTTCTGAAAGAGCTTATATGATGTCTAGGATTACAGAGGGATTCGTTTAATTGTAACTTCAAGGATGGCTGATGATCACTGTGCTTTTTCAGTAAGAAAATTGCAAATATTTCCCTTCATTTCTCATTTCCTTTAATTACTCGTATTCCTTAATTACTGTTTTTGTCGCAGTTATGGGTTAACTCGATATATTCCAAATCAGTATTAATCTACTTCCACGTTTTCTGGGAACTTTGGATGCAGAAATATTGAGGTCGGAATGCAATAGAACTTTAAACATGGACATGTTTTCGCAACTGAAATGTCAGCAACTATTGCTGTTTCCTTTTTCGGTATAGAGGATTTCCTGATACTAACAGAATGATTTGGTGCCGACGCGTAAAGTTTCATTAAAATCAGAATGCAAGTGTGAAGAACTGCATCTGCTGGCGTTAAAAGGTCTGGAATCAATTTCGTGGAAAAATGGCAATGCAGCGATGTAATGCTTCGTTGGAGGGTTTTTTATAATGCTACCTTAGTTCATTATTCATCAGCTCAGTAATTTATTTTCATTACTTTATTCGCAAACAAAAAAGAAAAAGTAATCAATTTATGAATATAAAGCAATAAAAGGCACAACCAAGTGAGGTTTTAATATTCGGGGAAAGCAAGACCTATTTTATACATTAGGTAAGGTGGAGAGTCATTCCCTTGTCTTAACTTTCTCTCTGATTCCGGCTGATCTGTTTCACCTATGTATTCTTCTTCTGCATACAACTTCCTCAGTTCGGATTGCAATCGCTGCAACGAGTTGCTTCGTGGATAAAACATGATGATATGAAATTTGCCTCGACCGTACCGTATTAAACTCCCAATATATGCTCGGAACACCTTAATGTGAATTAGCACCTCAAACATGTCATCAGCTATCACTTTGAGCCATTGAGTGAACATTATATTTTGATACCTTGTGGCTTCTTCAAGCTTTCGTCGTTCATGAAGCTTTCTGGCGAAACCTTCCTGATCACATTGATATTCCCGAGCAATGAAACCAATTTTAGCGCAGTTATCGCGGAATTCCAGGAAGTCTTCACGGACAACCACCGCCGAATATAACTTATAATCACTGTCTTCGGCAATGAAGCAACTGGAACATGCTACCACAGAATCATGAAGTGCTTCATAGACTTCTAACCAGGTATTGGCTGACTGTTGTGGTACAGCTATGTAAACTGATTGGATATATTCCGTCTCGATGACAGTTTCCTCACGTACTAACCGAGCCAAATTCTGAGTGGCTAACGTTTCTTCAGCGGTGATGTATTCTGTGGCTATTTTCAGATTTTCCTTATACGTTGCAGCATTGTTCCGCATCTGTTGATCAAGATTACGAAAATGCTTATAAAACAGATGGCATAAATCAGATAATAACAAATATGGTGAGTATTTGGCCATATTCCACGAAAAATTAGTGATATTTTCACCATATGTCTGCTTCTGAACTACCAAATGCTCCAACAAATCAACATCTTCCAATCGCAGAACATCCTCGAAAGTACCCAACAAAGATCGGAGTAAATTTTCTACCGAATGATCCAGTTGCAGTAGGTCCTTTGATAATTCATAGAGTTCAGCTTTTGGGGCAGTTCGAAATTTTGGAATTGATATGCTCGAAAATGTAGCAAAGTTGAGAACGACAGCTTTCAATTTTAGCCAGCTAGCTTCAGCGCAATCTTCAATAGGCGCCGAAATGAGGAACATCTCCAAAGGTCTGAATGTTTTCCCGTTCTATCTGAAATCTTCAAATTATTTGAATTTAAATCATGAAGTCATTCTAGTGACAGGAGAATGACGAACTTGTCTTTTTTTTTTTTTTTTCGAACTTGTCTTTTTTTTTTTTTAGTTCTCTGGCTCAAAAATATTGCTTGTTTAATTTACTCCTTTCGGGTTTAACTTGCCAGCAATATTTGCGCATTATCTTCTGGAACTGCTTATAGCTTCCGCGGCACCCCGCCAATACTTTTCAGAACCATTAAATTCAATTCTGACGAAAAACTAGTTTACCTTGTCTACAATATATCGCACAACATATACTGATCCGGACTCGGAACTTTTGTTCGCTGTTACCTCTTATCAGTTCTAGCGCGAGCACGAAGCTGAAGAATAGATAATCATAAGCCATTAAGGTTACAATATAACAAAAAAACGAAATGTCAAACATATCAGTGATCATTCTAGTAGTCCGAATCATGAGGACATCTCCAAATGTCTCGAATTTCAGGACTTGGCGCTTATTTTCTTAAGCACTAATCTAATTCCGCAAATCGTTTGAATTATTGCGTTCTTAGAGTCGTGGAAATAAATCGGATTTATTGATTTTTTTTGAAAAGGTCTATTTATTGTTTATTATCTCTTAAACAAATTAAATAAGTAAGCGATGAGAGAGTTCGATTTTATGGCAAATATGCAAGGTGAAAAAGACGAACCGAGCAGGCTGAGATAAAAGTAGGCCCTGCAAGTGGACTTTTACTCTCGATTGAGGCAGAAAACGACGACAAAAACAAACCAGTGTGATGATGGCCAGCGGTCACTATGTGTTCTTTCAATAAGAAAACTGTGCAGCACTGAAGGGCAGTACTGTAAAAGGAAGACTATGCGATGGCTAACAAATTAAATCGGACCACGCCCCTTACTAGAGGTCGAAGGGACACATAGTAACCTTTCCCCTTTAAAAAAAGAATTTTTCTCTCATAGCTTTTGGCTTTAGATCTTTTAGAGTAATGGAATAATTAAATTACGAAAAAGAATTTTATAATTTTGAAATATTGGCTTAATTCATATTGAATTCAATAAAAAATAAAATGAACAATTGCAGAAATTCTGAGCTACTGTGACAAACCAATCCACTGACTTCGAATTTTGCTTACTTCATGGCAAGATTAAATAATGAAAATTGTTCGGAATAAACTGACCTTCTCTGAACATGATCTTAGTTGATATACAAACACGGATCAGGAAGAATTTTCTCGAATTTAATTCAGCTAATAGCTCTCTTCAGGAGATCATGAAATTTTTCTACCAAATATATGCATGATAGTTAGGGGAAGTGTAGAAGGTTTGACAGATAACCTCAGAAGGTTACAAATCACCGCCTAATTAAAATCTTGCTGTAATATGGACTGTCTGTTAACACATTCAGCACTCTAATTTTTACTTTTTTTGTGGGAAAAACCGAAAGCTTTGTGTGCAAGCATCAAGTGAACGAAAAAGTATATGATTTACTGTCTTGTGATTGGAGCTCTTCTAGTCCAAAGAGTACCAAATCCGTTTGGCACTGTTTAGACTTAAATTAATCTATCTCGACAAGGTGAAATTTTTAGCAGTTGTTAGAAGTTATGTTCAGTGGACGATTTTTTTCCAGTAGGAATTGAAAATAGGAAACTGTTGCAATGTTGTAGTGATCATTGATAACAGCCAATCCAAGTTTGTTGCTCATATCAATCGAGTGAATCAAATTTAAGCATATACTACGGAAATTCTTCCATGAATCAAAAAGAAATGGACAAGCAGGAGCAGTTCAATTTAATCTTCAAAAAAGCAAATCCTCCTTTTTGCTACATTTTGCCATGTATCATTTCTATTGAAAGCTTCTATTCTTTCATCATTATTTGTTAAATTTGTTTGAAGTTGCCGAATTAACCAAATATTCTTTTCTTCTCTTTTTAAACTCTTTTCAAATTGTCATAACCAAACCAAAAATTTAGGAAAATAAAAAGGAAAGCGAGATGCGACATATTGAAAGCACTTCCAACAAAAAAAAGCACGTTTAGATAGGATAACCACGTATACCATATAATAGAAAGAACTGGTCTGACACTTAACAAAAAATTCGTTCGAGAATATGAACTGAAAACACATCAACGAAAAAGGATTGACTTCGCTTAAGTATATGAATTGAAAGCACGTTCGAGAAAACTGGCAATTGACGTATAACTTGTGGAAGATGTAACCGATTTGGCACTATTTTAGAATACCCAGTCAGTTTCGATGGTATATAATCAATAAACTTGCTGGAATATTTAGTAATGAAGTCATATCTAAGGTAAAGGATGATAGCCAAAAATATGAATAATAATTTAATTTCATTATAATCTGTCTTGTCAAGATAACTTAAATTTTTCTACTCTTGTATGGAAGTCGGACCACCTGTCTTGTCAAGAAAAACTTCGTCTGATTCAGAAACTGAATTTTGCTAATGAGGAATTTTTTCTATTACCTTAATTTATTCTGTAATTATTTGCTTACTCTTTGTTTGACTCTGAAACAGAAGAATTCAACATGAATTGCTAAATTCTTTTTTCCTATTTCAGAATCAAATAAAGAATAAGCAAATAATGCTTCAGATAAGATAATCTTGATAAGCTAATTGATAAAATGGAAAGTTAGCAGTGACGGATTCAATTCAGTTTTTTTGCACTCTGAGAAAGTGACAGTAGGAACATAACAAAGCCTTTTCCATTCTGCAAGGCCATCCAGCAAGCACACATTTAAATCTGCGTTGGAAAATTGCCTTCAGTTTCCATAACTTTTTCATCGTTCGAGCTTCAGGAATTCCTGGTAAAATATTGATACTTCTATTGACTATCTGTAAAATGTATCAAGTTTGAGTCATTTAAGCAGAATGAAAAGTATTTGAAAGACAATTTGAAATAAATGATTAAACACTTGGTGATCTAATTAGTTTCATTAAAATGAAATTTAAATTTAAACTGATTCAGTTTGATTGAAACTTACAAAAGTTGACTCGTTAATTTTTAATTAAAATGAAATTTAACTGATAGAAATCAATCGATTTTCCGGATTTGCTGTAAATTTTTATCATCCTTTTTTCATGAAAGTTTTTGTTCTCATAAAGCTATGTTAGACTAACTTTAATGGAATTAAGACAAATTAAATCCAAAATTTTCCCATAACAGTAGCTTAGTAATTGAATTGGTATTTTATAACCTTACTAATCCGGACACTCTTAAACGTACACAATTCAAATATTCATCATATCGTCTTTCCAATTTTCTGAACAGTTTACCACCAGCGCCCTCTCTCCATCTCATTATACGCTCGGCAAAAAGATGCACAGTATCTTTTTCACGTCGGATATGTTGACGATATCCGGCATCAATTGATCTAATGTGATCCAGATAATCTCCTATTTGTGATGGATGTCTCGAGAAATCGATGCTCTCCACCAGTTGCGATTCATTATATTGAACTGGCAATACACATATAGGCCAAAATTCCTTCAAAAACTTTTGAACCTTTATCTTTAAAGAATCAATTTATTTAATGAGTCATGATGCAAAATTTTTCAGCCTCGTGCTTTGAATATGCGCAAATATTACGTTATATTCGTGATAAATATCATGCAAAAGTTAGAAGTTCTTTCAGGTAAGCCGAAATATTGATCATCAGCTGAACAATGATCCTACCTGTTGCGCACGATACTTTTTGATTAATTTCTCAGCTTTTTGTTCAATTTCAGACATCACTCTTAAACAAAATAACATTGTCATGACATTGCAACAGCAACCACTTAACAATCTTCTCTCGTTAAGCCACATACTATCAAGTTCCTAAAAACGCTCACAGATTGCCAATCATCCAAATTTGCCGATATGAAGAGACACCAATGACAAAGCAATATGAACAAAACGAAATGTTGTACATTTATGGCTCTCTTGAAAAATATTCAGCACCTCTTTCCCCCCTCCCCCCCCCCCCCTTATCGTCTTCCCTTTCGTCCTGTATCTTCGTCAAACAATAATAATTCTTATGATTTAATTACCTGAGCGCTCTCTTTCTTTATTAACTTCATGGCAGCCAAGAAATGAATCTTTTGCTTTACCATTAGCTTAAGAAAAAGTGAGCTGCAAACAAGAAATAAAGATTAAAGAGAAATTTTAACCTTCCTGATCACTCTGATTCCATGATAGAGTGAATTCCGCCCAGGATTTCGCATCCATCGTTGCGTTCTGCTCAGATGCTGCGAGATTGTCCGATCGCTATATGGTAGAAAAGGAGATTGCGATATTAAATACTTCATCCTTCTACGTCGGGGCGATTCTTCATGTTTGCAAAACTTGTGCCATCCGCCCATACGTTCAAACTTACAGGGTAACCCAGCACGATATAGCATGCGCTCGCGATGCCATTCGTAACGCACCATTCTTTCGTTATTTACAGATTCATCATCGTCGGATTCATGTCCACGTTTTGAAGCTTTCATTATCGATAACAATTTCAGTAAAAAAATAACCTGAAGTGCGATTCTTAACTATTCAATCAAATCCAATTCTGAACCGTTGATAGTTCTGCACATACTGAACAACCGGATACTTACTGATAACAAAGATCAACTGAATATTTTGTATGCAATGAATAATCACGCAGTTAGTAGCCAACATACTGTACTGAACAACCGGATACTTACTGATATCTTTTTTGAAATGTTTTGCTGATACAAAGATCACCCGCTGTCATAGGGCAATGATCTGGGTATTACTGGGATACAGATGCTTACTTGGTTTCTTTTAAGCTTATCCAAAAATCTTAAAGTGAGAATAATTCAAAACATTTACAAATCATTTACAAGACCGCCAACTACTGTCCTGTTAATAATACCTCACAGTTAACTAGACCATTTCAACTACAGTTCAAGCACTAATCATTCCATTTCCTCATTACACCCAATCGGTAATAGCTTTCGATCTACCGATCTTTTTTGTCATGCCAGAAAATGAAAGTTTCGAATTTTGTTGCAGAAGCAATTTCAATGAAGACTTAATGAAGACTGCTCCAACATTTTTATAACTCCGATCTCAGACATCATTTCAATCTCATAGCTCGAAAATAATCTTAAAAAAACAATCAGATTCTTGAATGACTAAGCTTATAGAACTATTTTCGACAAATGCTGTTAATATATTCCAGATATATTCCATTTGGATATATTCCCAGATATATTCCATTTTTCCATTTTTATTTCCCGTTAATATATTCCATTTGGAATATGTTAACATATTCCAGATTTAAGCTTTAAGCATCTTGTAATTCTACAGTAAGCCGAGTCTTTCAACAACTACAACCGGATCTCGAAATGATATATAAGTGCAACACTGGACTAAATATTTATATTAGCCCAACCTTCATGATATCTCCATAAAGATTGGCATTTTTAATTATAGTGTTCAAAAACCTCGGTTGTTTGTTTTAATATTTAAGTATCATTGATATACATTTTCAAATTGTTTTCATCTCCAAAAATCCCTCCAAATATCCTTGAAAAATCGATCGTAAAGGTCAAGCGACTCTTCGCTTGTTGACCTTATCCCTGACGCTGTACTTTCACCCGTTCTGTCCAATCCCATACGTAATTGATGGACACCACTTCATCCAACAGATTTGTTTCTGTGAACAAACAAACAATTGAATAAGAATGATAAAAATCAGAAGGTTTGCCTTAATATAAGTCTTATTTGTTACCTTGGTCCTAGGCCTGTTTTTTGTCGACCAGACATTACTTCCATATATTGCAAAAGAATGGTCAACTTATTTCTTCATCACTAGAAATAGATGCAAAGAGTCTGGTAAAAAAGACATAATACACTAAATTTTAGACTACAGAATATTCGAATTGAGAGACAACGCAAAAATGAGCTGAATTGTAACAAAAGTGCTATTTCAAGATCAATTGTAACAAAGGTAATAGCATGCAAATTCTTGTCATATTTCTGAGAGCTCGCACGATATATAATCAAAACCGGAACGGTTCCATAACGGTTCATAAACCGGAAAGTGAAAAGATCGGAAAATACGTAAATAACTTGTTCAAGTCTGATAATTACGCATCTGATTTGAGAGGAATTCAAAACCATAGAAGTTCATCACCACTCACAGGTAATGCTGAGGTGAATGAATGATGGTAGTATCATACTTTACTATCAGTCTTTCCCTTCTCTCATTCATATTCTCTATTTCATCTTTTCAACTGTAATTTTCATTTCATCTCTTCAAAAATACTACTTGCTATTTGCTATTTTTCAGTAAATCCTGTTAAGGTCAAACACTTCCTCTCTCTTATCCCTGACCCTAACCGATCGATGATGCATTGTTTTCCTCATTTCTGTAGTTGGCGAAGAAGAATACTCAATTGTATGAAAAATCCGGAAGAATTTGATAATGAGGGAAAATATAAAATTAAGTCAAATAAATTTAGAATTTAAATGAAATTAAACAAAATGCCGTATAAAAATGGCGAAATTTCTGGAGATTGTTGAAAAAGCGAAACATTATGTGCAAAAAAAACGTTTTTTTTCTTTTTTTATATTGTAGAAATGAAAACAATAAATAACAACGAATTTGAGTGATTCTTCTCCAATTGCAGGGATGACGAAAATGTGATGTCCAGAAGTTGTGCACCATCGATCGGTCAGGGTCACGGATGATATCATTATCCACAAAATAACATATTTTTAACCTTAACAGGATCTACCGATACAGCTGTGATACAAAAGCTGTGAAGATAATAAAGATGATGATAATTATTGCAAAAAGACAAGTTTTTTAATGATTATTTTAGTGAGCCAAAAAAGATACATTTTAGTACAACACATCTTTTTCAGTGGTAATCTTTACTCTAAAATACTCGTCCTGTTCCTCTTTGAGAATACTTATACATGCTGTCAGGTATAAGAAAAGATTATCTCATTCTTCATCCAATAACATGCATCTAAACTTGGGAAGTACGAAATTATAAGACAATGAATTCGTCCACAGTGGATTCCCCCGATAGCTTATCATTTTATAAAGGAATCTGAGCTGGAAAATCTGATGAGATAAATCTGAATTTAGAGTTGAAACTTAACATTTTGACAGATGTTTTAAAAATTTACAACGATGACAATAAACAACTATAAGATCCATTGAGGATCCATGGATACTTTCATACTTAAAATATTTAAGTATTAATTAGAATGAACCAACATATCGAATTTTAGATCCGAATATTTCCTTTCGATCACCATAGAAAAGTGAAATAATAGAATAATATTGGGCAAGGAATTAATCGCGAGTTGGTATAATGAATATCACAAATTTTAATTATTTAATATTCAATAATTTTTATTAGGGCAGTGAATGGATGAATTGGAAAAAAATTCATGGAGAACTGATGACTTTACGGAATCTGTTCAATTCTCGTAAATCAGGAAAATGACGATATATGACTTTTTTCTTAATCCTGTATTTATTATCATCATGATGTATTAGAACGAGAACGTTTTAGTTGCTGCACTTTTTGCTTCATTATAGAATTTGCAAAAGCCCTCCGGTACTATCATATACCATGGTATAGGATCAAATTATACTATCGGGAAGCATTTCAAAATATATCGATAAAATGAGAAAAGCAAAAACCAATCACAGCAGTCCAAGGAGTTCAATGCCAATCAGGACTGATAATACGAAATAAACAAAACATTGATACAACAATGTCATAGTTTGCCGTTGAAAGCTTTAAAGGGAGATTCCATGTTCTTACCTGAAGTAACCTCATCATTTAATGCATTCCAAATCCGTCAGTTTAATGTGTTTTTTGGTTTATCGAGTTTGGTCCGCAAGACTTCAACCAGCTTGATAATAAAGACTGCTATTAATGTTGCAGAAATTAATTCCTTGCTCTTCAACTAATCATTTTTTATTGAAGCAGTTAAAAATAAAACATTACCACGAATTATAATGAATAACAAAAGTAAACCAATAATAACAAAACTAACATACTTAACCCACTATTAGCACATATTGACTACATCTCCTCATGGATTATTATTCCTTTCCAATCTATAGGTAGCATAATGGTCTTCATTTGGTCATCCAGCGTAGACATGTGTTCTCCGTGTTGTCCTACCTTAAGCTAACACTTTAGTTTTACTCATTTTATGGAAATAAGAAGAACTTCCTGCTGGAAACGTGAAAAGCTCTACGATTTGGGAGTTTCAAGTATAAGAATTCAAATATTCAGAAGAAATCAAACAACTTCAGTGAGAAGTTTGTTACGCCTTTCTTCAATCATCATTATTGCTTTCTTCTCCAAAGCCTTCTTTTCCTTCAACAGTCCTTGCATAATTTTCTGAAATTCCTCGTGATCCTCCAACTCCCGATCATATTTTGAATAAACCTGAATAAGTGCGCAACTAAGTTCCTTCCTGTTATATTTTATAAACCAAAAACAAAGCCTGAATCTCACTTTAAAGAAAATAACTAAATTTGTTAAATTAAACTGAAAAAAAGGAACACATAATGAACTTCAATGCTAAAAAATACGCTAAAAAAATGCATGCTAAAAAATAAATGCATTCAGGATAAGAGAATCGAAAAAGAGGTATTTCAGCCCTAACTTCACATGCCATAAATCGACATCTTAGGAAAATTAGTCGTGCAGATGCTCAGAGATTCCTACTTTCAGAATTTGAATTTGTGACTTGAATGTAATTTCTTTAAAGTAAACCTATTTGCTTAATAAAGACACAGTTCTATGAATTAAAATATTATATTTATTAGACACTATGAAAAACATTCTGCTGAATTAATGCATGAAAAAAGACATAGAAGATTGAAAAAGTCAATTTACACTACATAAAAAATTTCAAATGGTAGAAAATTCAAATTTACTTCATTTAAGGCTTTTTTATATTCATTAAGCAATTTCTTGGATGCAACATTTGCCACATTTTCACGTCGTTCACGTGTTATCCGCGGTAACGAGATGTATAATACAGCACCTTCCTGACGTGGAGTCACATTAAGTTTTGATTGCTCAATAGCGAGACGCGCTGACTTTATCACTGCTGGATTATCAGTGAAATCCACGGAAATCAATAGTGGGTTCACTAGTTTGATTCGTCCAAGCGTATTTAACTTGTACTGCTGCAAATTCAGTTTCGAAGTTTAACATTATCTAAACCAATTTAATGTTGCTATTTTAAAAATACTTCGACAATTTTAGACCTGAATTTAACTTTATTAGGAAAGAACTAGGTTGAAAATAGGCAGAAAAAACCAGAAATTGAAATATGATACAACACTCATGACATTTGAACTATAACACATCAAAAGAAAATGTGTAATCTAGAATTCCAGATTGAACATTACCTTTCCGTCCTCTGTTTTCACCACGAAATCTTCATAGGTTCGCAAATCAGCCTTCAGTGAAAGACTTTTAGTAAGTTCCTGTACGAAGATATCCTCCAAGCTTTTCATTTCCTTCACTCCATGCTGTATGACAAAATCACAACTATACGCTTTAGCTGGATCGCCAGTACTGTCACCAACATCATCATCATCAAATCCTTTACTAAAAAAAAATAATTTCAACAGATCTTTCAAATTTGAAAGTAGAAAAATTAATAGCAACAAATAAAGGAGTGGTCTCCTAATTCTGAGGAATATAATTCTGAAGTATAGTCACGGACATTTACAATAATACCATAATATAATATTACGTATAAGCCCTTTTCCTGAATATGATTCTAGTTCAAACAACAGAAAAAAGAGCAATATAAGAAATACGAAAGATTAAATCTTTCTAGTCTTTTCCAAACAGAGATCAACATGGAGATAATTCAAAAGTCGAGCAGGAAATATAGGATTCTTTATCCTTCCTACCATTAAAAGTCCCTATTAAATCAAACAACTCTAACCGGAAAAAAAATCAAGCCTCAGATATCCAATAGCTAAACACAAAACCACAGTTAAACTGACATATCACTTTTACAGATATGTTTTGGAACAGAAAAATACCTACTACTTTTGCTTTGCGTTTCTTCTTCAGATAGAGAGGTGAGCAATGTAATTCTCGGAGGTGTGTTAGTTGACATAATGATGCGCCGCGATAAGGCGTTACTCGCAGATATGCCTTCATTCTATCAGGCCTTATGTCGATTCCCTGTTTTTGAAAGATATTTATAGTGAGCTGGAAATTGACGAATCTTTGCCACGAACGAAACATCCTAAAAAGAAAAAAAAATAAATTATAGCTTTGAAGATTCAAAGCAAATGTACAAGAGAGTTTTTTAAACTGAATTTCCTCGTATTTCCTGACTGCTTACTGTACACGACTTTAACATTGTTAAACGAATGTCTAATGTTCCTCTTCGCCTTCTACCATTAGAAATTTCAAAATACTCTGCATATATTTAAAATTCTTCTGGAACGAATAACAATGAATCGTCTAATTATCCTCCATTGATTTCCATTAAAGTCGGTGGTAGAGTGTCATGAAAGATCGAAGCTCAATCGATTTTGCTCAAATAATGATCCACCAACCACTTCTTTTTTTGTTTTTAAACTGCCCAAAGTTTACCGTCAAGTTACAAATGTTTAGCATCCCTCTCGCAATTAGATTTTTGGTATTAAAATTTACATAAAAAATTGAAATCAAAAAGCATTTTCAGAAAGATCCTTTTGGTCCGGAATTCCTCAGGAAAAATGTACCAATTCAGAAGCAGCACTTCAAATCAAGTATTACAGTTTTCAGTATACCGGATCAAACTGCAAGTATTTCACTTGAAACAATAAAAGTGACATTCAAAGTTTTATTTTTCTTTTACAAAAATGGAAAGGCACAATTCGAAATTCCAATAAAAGGACCAATTTAAAACAAAGATTCTCAGTTAAAAATCAATGAATTGTGAAAAGATAGACCTCGTATTTAAAATCGCAAAATATATATAAGTATAAAATATAAAATACAAAATATAAAATATAAATATGAATATAAATAAATAAATAAACAAACAAATAAATAAATAAATATAATATATATATATATATATATATATATATATATATATATATATATATATATATATATATATATA